GGGCCGGTGGCGGGGAGGGGCCACGGGTGGTTGGCCGGCCAGTCCCGCCCCCAATCGGACTGGTTGGCTGGCCGCAGTGGGCATCATAGCGACCAGTCGTTTCGGCGTTCCGGTTGCTGGCTTTTTATATAGAGAGATTATTGAGCACTTATAGTATACTATAGTGAGCATGAGCTTATGATATAGACAGAGATCTTCAACAGAACTTCCTTCAGTGATGAAAATGTTCTACATCTGCACTTTCCCATAAGCTAAGCTACTAGCCATATTTGTATTGAGCCCCTGAAATGTGGCATATATGACAGAGGAGCAGAATTTTTTATTTTAAATTATTTAAATAGCCACATATGGCTTGTGGCTGCTAAATTGGACAGAGTTACAGATCCCACCTTGGGTGAATTATTTAACTTCTCTATAAAATAGAAATAATATATACCTTCTAGGAGAGTTATGAGTTCATGTATATAAGTCATTTAGCAAAGTGCCTGGCATAGAGTCAGAACCCAAAAATAAACATTTGATATTATTGTGATCTGTGTTAGTTAACTGTGCATGTATCATGGAAGGGAATACAGAGGTGGGGAAAATGTAATTCCCATGTTTAAGATGTTTGTTTTTCGTATGGGCCTTTCCAAAAAGTTTCAACCTCAAGGACATAGGTGGGGAAGCCAGAGTGCTTGTTGAGGCAGAAATACTGGTTTTGTGTTTTTAATTTTTTTATCAGTAAGCAGATAGAGTCTGTTTCATCATATCTGTACAGTAGATATTTCAGTCTCTAAGTACAGAAAGCTAGGTTCCACTCCAAAAGCTCTAATGTTAATTATGGAATTCCATTTTTACTATCTAAGTTATATTTTGATAGTGGTTACAAAAAAAAGTTTTAAATGTTTCAGGCCCTGTCCTTAGTGCTTAATGTGTATTATCTCAATTCCCAAACATAACCCTTTGTGCTATAAACCCATAAGTCATTATCTGAAACCCCCAAGACCAGATATGTTTCAGAATTCTTAGTTTTTTCGATTTTAGAAAGCCAGTTGAGGGCATGTAACTACTGGACAAGTGTTAGCATTTCAGTAATGAAACATATAGATATTTATATTAAATGGAATAAATAGGGACTCACATCAAGTCAGATCATATTTTCCTACAAATGGATGGTGAGATTAGGTTTCGACATCAAAGAAATTACGGATATTTCCAATTTTAAAATATTTCTGAAATGTGGAATTTTAGATAATTCTGTCAGCTTGTATGTATTTCCCTATTCGTGCAGCTGTTATGGTGGAACACCAGGTTTGTCTGGTTATAAGTCTCATGTTCTTTTCATCTTTTCCACATAAAAGGGCTAGTCTTGATTGAATGCTTGCTGAGCTTGCCTTTAATGTTATTTCTTTTACACTGTGCACTATTTTTATGACTACTCTTTGAACCCGTGCTTCATTTCTTGTTTACTGCCATCTTCTCTGTAACTCACATAGTGGTGAGTGCTCAGTGAGTATTTGTTGGCTACTATATTGGCTCAACCCATAGATACTCTGTTTTTCACAGCCCCTCACATGTTGTGGGGTTTTCTAGCACAGTAGAGAAAAAGGCAGGACAGGGCCATCGGTCTTTATGTAAATGACTTTACATGTGTTTTTATGATATAGTACGGTCAGTAAAATAGGTACACATGAAAACTACTATATTATTATTGTGCAGGGGGGAATGATTATCTGTGGGGTCAACAGTGTATGATGTACTTATGTGGATATAAGGATGTCGACTAATACTTCCTGTACTTCCATTTCCTTGCTAGATTTACTGCAGAAACATTTTTCTTTGTTTCCTTTTCCATATTTATTGGAATAGTGCTCCCTACTTTTGTCTAAGTCAGTGGTTCTCAACCTGTGGGTCTCGACCCCTTTGGCGGTCGAATGACCCATTCACAGGGGCCGCCTAAGACCATCCTGCATATCAGATATTTACATTACAATTCGTAACAGTAGCAAAATTACAGTTATGAAGTAGCAACGAAAATAATTTTATGGTTGGGGGTCACAACATGAGGAACTGTTTTAAAGGGCCAGAAGGTTGAGAACCACTGGTCTAAGTGGAAAGACCATCCTCGTAGGAATTGGTAGAATTGAGCTCATTCTAACGTTGCTAGTACTACTTAGGTTACCTTAGGAAGTCACAGTTTGGTTTGGGATCTTGATTTCAAAAGTTTATTTAGAAGGGTGAAATGAACAGAGTTTTTTCATTGGCATTGATTGTCTTTTTTTCTTGAACACTTAACCTGCTCTTTAGACTTCCTCCTTGTCAGGGGAAGCACTGCCCCCCAGGTTCCATCTGTGGCACCTTCCTTCTCTGCATGGCTCCATTGCTCACAATTAGTGCTCCATCCACTCTGGATTCCCATTCCCTTAGTTCTGTGGCTGTCATCTGAGTTAGGCACCAGGAAAAAAGTCAGTCTGGAAATTTCAGATGTTACAGGGAAGAGATTTGGAGCAATGTGGCCTTCGCATACCTCTCCATGCCTTTCAGTGAGAATTTCCCCACCATGTTGAAGTTTAGATAAACCTCTCAGCACCATTTTGCCCTCTCAAGATTTCCCTGGCTTGTCTTTAACCCCCTTCTCCTTAGCTTATCCCATGAAAGTCCTCTCTACGTCTCTTTAACTTTTCCTGAGACCCATCACTGCCCTATTGTTTGTTCTCTCAGAGTTTGGTACTTAACAGATTTCTTGTCTGTGCTTCTGTCCCTCATGAGGTTTCGGCCTTCTTTTGAACCCAGCCATGCCAAATACACTTCTGGACTCCCTTGCTCTGAAGAGAACTCACTAAGCCAGAAAATTGGGGATGAGATCACTTATTGTAAAAGAATACCCCTTCCTTTCTTTGCTATTTGCTGTACTCTGGTATCATTATTCACCTCAAATGCTTTTAAGGTACTTGGGCCCTGGGCAGGAATTGGAGTATTGTTCTACTTGTAATTGAGACAACTGACAATGTACAGGTATGTCAGCAGGGGACTTTGAACTTCCTTCCTTAGCCAAAGTATGGGACAGGAGTCTGGTAGTTAGCACATGTCATAATAAGTGGCAGATAAATGGTCACTTCTGGCTGGCGAGAACTAGAGGTAGTAAAGATGGGACAGCCCGCGCTGGACAGCATCACTGGAGAACTGATCATAGATGAAGGTTTTTAGTGATACCTTTAGTGATTCACACTAAGGTTTTACTGATTATAATTCCCCACTTAAGAGAATTAAAGCCTTCTAATATTACACATTCTATCTATTTGTATCATGGGACTGTGGTCTCCAGGACTGGACAAGACCCCCAAGATAGTCTATAAAGGGTTTATAATTTATAGCAAGACTGGGAGTCTTAGCAAAGAAATCACTCCTAGATTCTTTTATGACTTAGGACAAAAGCAGCAGGATTTCATTTTGTCAACATTCTCCTTCATGGGAAACTATAATTAAACCCATTTTGAGTTTGTTCTATATTTATTGTTTGTTACTCATATTCCCTAGTGTAGCAGGATCACTGACTTACAACTTAGATAACTTATTAACTATCTATTTATAAAATGTTTATAAAATTAAATAGCACTGTATTTAATTCATCTGGTTATTTTTAAATGTATACTGTTGCACATTTAGACCCCAGCTTAACTGTTGTTTTGCAGTTCAAAATTTTTATTAGAAGAATTGAACTGTATGGATATCTAAAATGTAAAGGAAGGCTGGAATCTTGTTTAAAAATACTCTTTTTATGTGCTAACATGTTTTACCAACCTCACTAGCCAGAGGGGTTATTTTGTAGCAATGAGAATTCACTGTCTGCTGCCATGGCTGCCCAGGACTATCAGTTAAGTGTGTTCCTGGGATTCTGGAAGCCCCGGTGATGTCTCACTAGAGCTCATAAACATTTCTCTCATTTCCCTCTTTGTTCTCCCCCCACTTCCTATGTTAGTCACTCCTTAGCATGCCACTTGAGCCCAGGGCCTCCTCTCGGTGCTGCTAGTTCCCAGCAAATTGATACCTGTGCCAGGAGTCTCTTGGAACTTCTGAGCTTGAACTTTTAAACTGCCAAAGAGTGGTGCCATGTTCTTAGAAGAAATGTTTTTGGAAGAATACCTACTCTCTCATACCAGAAAACTATTGCCATATTACAGACTCATGAAAAGTTTCTTGCACCTGTCTTTTTCCAAAGAGCCAAATAGAAATATATGGAACCATTATCTAACTTATACTTTTCCTCATGGTGATTTTCTTCTGGTGCCCAGCAAAATATCTTCCCTCTCACTTCAGGACTAAAAACCAACCAACAAAAAATCTCATTCAAGATCACCCAACTACTTGATGAGACATACACAGAAATGTCTGAATCCCTTAGGTTCACTGTAGGACCCTGAGTGTGTTTATTTAGATACTACTAATGATCATTATCAGTAGGTTGCAAGGATTTCCATGGAAAGCAGTTGTCATGCCGCTCTAGCTCACATCCACTCACCTTCTTCTCCAGTCAACAGATCCTAGAAGCCAGCCAGTCTGTGACCTTGGAGCAAAATAAAGCTCTGATGTGTGGTGTTCAGCAGACTTTTCCCCCCTGTTGTGTCTATCCAAGTATGGCCTAATGGTATTCATGTATCTTATATGAAAAGGATAACTGCAAAACTATCAACCTCTTTTTGTCAGTGAAAACGGATGTCATTAATATTTATGTCAAGATAATTAGAATAATATATTATTAACCTAAATATAGATGAGCTGTAACATAAACTTTAAAAACCTTATTTTTATAGTGTTTGCCTAGTTATTTCTGAAACCATATGTTTTAATTATTACTGTTTTTATGTCTTTCAAAAATCTTCATTCTTGCCCACAAGTTTCTTAGAACAATTGCTTTATGGGTTTATCCTGTCTGATTAGTTTTCATTTCTAATTAGAAATTATAACATGACTTTTTTTCTTGTCCCCACCAACTAGAAATATTTTTATTTTCAATACAGATGCAGAGTTTGCAGGGTGGTACAGAAGCCATAGCCCGATTGGATCAGTTAGAAGCTGATTATTATGATCTGCAACTTCAGTTGTATGAAGTACAGTTTGAAATCTTGAAGTGTGAAGAGTTATTGTTGACAGCACAACTAGAAAGCATCAAAAGACTTATATCTGGTATGGTGTACATTTAACCACATAAGTCCACAAAAGATTGAATGCTTTAAAAGAGACTAGAGGCCCGGTGCACAAATTCATGCATGGGTAGGGTCCCTCGACCTGGCCAGCCAACAGGGGGGAGGGACTGTAGGAGGTTGGCCAGCTGCAGGAGGTTGGCTGTGGGAGCGCACTGACCACCAGGGGGCAGCTCCTGCATTGAGCGTCTGCTCCCTGGTGGTCAGTGTGCGTCATAGCTACCGTCGGGTCGTAACGGTTGCTTAGGCTTTTATATATATAGATAATGGCTTTGCCTGAGGTTACAGAGCCAGTAAGTGGATGAGAACCCTGTTCTGTCTCTGCAGTCCACGCTCTTAACCATTACCCTTTGTTGCTATTCTGTACCAGAAAAGAGAGATGAAGTGGTGTACTATGACACTTATGAAAGCATGGAGGCCATGCTGGAGAAGGAAGAGATGGCAGCATCAGTGCATTTACAGAGAGAAGAGCTGCATAAACTTCAGCAGAAAGCACGCCAGCTGGAAGCAAGACGTGGACGGGTTTCAGCCAAGAAAGCCTACCTCAGAAATAAAAAGGTATATAAAAAAAAGGTATAATAGGTTATGTATTTATGAAATTCAGCCTTAATTTTAAATTTTGCTTTTATTCATTACCTAATCCTTGATCCACAGCTAATAATTTTAATCTAGTTTGTCACTAATACTTGTTCATCTTTTAAAATGAAGTAAGTTATTATGGGGGTGCTGCTTCAGAATCCTGCTGGAGTTCCTTGGTAATATGATATATGTAACCTATCACCTTTTTAAAATCTGAAAAAAAATTCAATTTCAAAACACATCTGACCTTTGTTCTGGATAAGGGATTGTGGACCTGTATTCTCATTTTATAGCCAAGGGAACCAAGGTTAAATAAATGACCCAAGAAAAAGTGCTTAGTATGGGGTAAGGTAGGATTCTATCTGAGGTCTGTGTGACCCAGAAGCCTAAGTCAGTATACCACTGTATCATGTCACTATATAGGACTGCCTTTTTTCCCCCAGGGAGACTGCCGTGGACAAGTTCATTTCATGATCAATACTTGTTAGGCAAGAGATTTAACCCAGTGTGGGGGGAGAATATAATATCAACAGTTGCTTTAGAAAAATAGTTTACTGGCTTAAAATGTCATTCCTTAGATGCCTTTCTCTGATTAGAAGAGTAATCTTTGGTATAGCTCTGAGAGTGTTGGGAACTAATGGAAACCCTTTCATCTGGAGGGCTTTCCAAAAGGATGCAGGGAAAATGAAGATTTAGCGTGGTGCCACTAAAATTGCCAAATGGCAGTGCATTATTTTGTAAAGAAGCACATATATCCAATTTTATTATTACGTTTTTGTTTTCACGTGATTAGAAAGAACATAATTCTGACTTTCTAGTCTTTAAGGTCTCTTTTTGTTCTAAAGTCTGTGGCCAGAAGTTTAAGATTTCATAATATGCTTCAAAGCAGTTTGGACAAAATCATGTTCTTTAATTCATCAAAGAGAGTTTAAGAATACAGACTTTAAGCCAGGAGTTGTATATCCTTTTTGCCCAGACAGTTTAAGGAGTACAATAAGACAGAATATTCTGGCCACAGACTTCAGAGCTGAAAGAGACCTTTGAGATTATATAAGGACACCCTCTTCCACTCTGCCTTGCCCCATCCCTCCCCCTCCAAAAAAGGGAAATCAGGACTGGAAGAGAAGTTTTAATAATTTGATAGAAGACTCTTTTTAAGATCTTGATTATTTGGCTTGTGCTGCTTCAGTCTTACAAATGAGAAACCAGAGGTGGTTTATTTGATATTTCGCTATGCAGTTATATGTTAAGATGTGACTTATCACATAAACCCTGGTATGTTGTTTAAATCTTTAAGTTCCACGTATATTAAAACATATTTTATGTGTTTATAGGAAATTTGTATTGCAAAACACAACGAAAAATTCCATCAGCACCTTCAGAGTGAAGAGAACTACAGAACCCATCACACAGTACAACTAGTAAGTTTGTATTCTTGGAGACTTAGAACAAAACTTCGATTTTTACTGTAGTGTCTAGTAACATTACCAGTTGAGCATTGTGCATGAGGGTTTCCTGAAACTTCATGTACACTTTTAGTTTGACGATTCAAGTCATCCTTTAGATTTTGATATAATCATCTAAGGCAAATGTGAGCAGTAAGTCTCATTAGAAATTATATTGTCCAGGACAAAGCTGGTGGGAAAGAAGAGAGAAGCAATAGAATAAGAGAATAATGGATGATAGAATTTGTAAAGGACAGCAGACAAATGGAAGAAAGACAGATTAATGACACACTGGAACCACCATCATACTCCATGTGAAATTATCTGGTCTTGGGGGAAGTAGCCCCAATTTTTTAAAACAAAGCAGAAAAATAAAGTTTCATAACCCATTTGGTTATCTAGAAAGCCTTTTCATTTATTTAATATTTGTTCTGCCTAATGAGACTTAATTAGATGGCTTTTAGTTGATTCAACAATATGAGAAAAAGATTTAATTTTTGTACAGATAACTGCCAGCTATAAGTTATGATAGTAAAGCAAATGATTTATGTATGATGCTGGAACTACTTTTATTTTTTTCTAACTGTTGGTTATATTGGTTGACCTGTGTAATATCTAAATTACTGACCAAGTGTTTATGGATTTATTTTAAGGTCCACTGTTTGAGTTAGCAGAATTAACAGCTATAAGTATTTCATACTAAAATTGTTTAAGCCAGGGCCACAAAAATGAAACATTTTTTAGTTCAGAGATTTTATTCTATTTTACAGAATAAAATTCTTTAATTGGGAGTAAATGAAAAAAATAAAATAGTATTATTTTTACCATTGTGAATTTTAAAATGATAATTTGTTAAAAACGGATAGTGCTTCATGCCATAAAACATTTTGTTTAATGCATCATTCTTCGGGGTTACCCACCTGATATACTGGGAGAACTCTGTTCTTTTTTTTCCCTATTAATGATAAAAAGAAACGGGAAACATCATAATTGAATTACTACTTATTTTTTACCAGAAGAGAGAGAAATTACATGATGAAGAAGAAAGAAAAAGTGCTTGGGTTAGCCAAGAAAGACAGAGAACACTGGATAGACTTCGAACTTTTAAACAGGTAATAAAAGTACAGTAACTATATTGTTTTTCATTGCTACATACACACTACTGTTATAAGATTTCTTTGAGAAAAACTTGGTTTCCCTTTGTTGTTTAGAAAGTAAGTTAGTTTTGATTGCATGGCTACCTTTCCTCTGGTTGTTTCCAGAATTAATATCCTGTGACCCTTGGCTACCACTTCAGTCTAGTATAAGAGGAATGGTCAAAGCCCCTGGGAAGCATGGGTTCCCCTTGAATTATAAATGAATTATAAAGTAATTAGTTTACAGCCAACTCTCCATTTCAAGCATCAACTTGTTATTGATTCCACATACATCAACCTATGGTAGTAATCTATGGAAATGATCAGGACAGAATTAGAGGATCAGCATACATGAGAAATGCTTCAGCAGTTTTCTTACCAGGTGAAACCATGACTCTGGACACTGACATCACAGCAGCTAAATATTTCCTTCGAACTGTGCTTAAGCTGAATGGTTTTAGTTGATAAAACTTCCACTGTCGGAAGCGTTTGATAAAGTCCTATTAGTATTATAGTGAAAAGGGTATTAAGCCTGAGTTAAGCAAATGCATTAATGCTAGGTTTCACTACAATAAAAATATAGAATGAGAGTTGTTATGTCACTCAGTACTCCCAAAAATTTTATCTGTAAGCATTTGAAAATACATGTAAGAAACTAATAGTCCCTTAGCTTTCTGCACATATATGTTTACATCATTTATGTTGTGTAATTTACATTCCTATTATTTTTTTCGTTTAAATTCATAATTTTATTCAGTAAAGACCTTTTTTTAATAGTGGTAATTTTGAATAGTTGCTTAAGTTGATAAGAGGATTACAAGATCTTGATAAAGGATTTGATGATGAGCAAACGTTAAAGAGTTTGGTGATAACTGTTTGAAAGTTACTACACTTTGGTATTCTGGTTTTCTGTATAACTGTATTACAATTTTGTATTACAAAAGTTTCCCTGAAAATTACAAAAGCTCCAAAAGAACATCTTTCACTTGAGAGAGAAAATAGATAGCCAATTGTTCATAAATCATTTTAACATAATTTAACCAGTTATGACAACTTCTGTTTTTTTAGAGGTACCCTGGCCAAGTTATATTTAAGTCAAGCAGATTGCGACTGGCTCATGCAAGAAAAAGTGCCGCTAGTCCTGTGCCCTGCGAGGACCAATGCAACTCTATGCCAGGAGCACTGCAGATAGAAGAGAAAAGTGAAGAGGTGCAGAAAGGAAGAGGCAAGCTTGGGTCATCACAGACAGCAGAAGCCCAAAGCCTCATACAACTTGAAGATACTTCATTAGTACAACTTGAAGCCACTTCATTACCTCTCAGTGGTGTTACCTCGGAACTGTGCCCCACTGTTTCTCTTTCACTTTTGAATAATATTGACCTTGAACCAGGTTCTATTACCACAGATCCACTCCCACCACCTCTTCCTCCAACACCACCTCCCCCACCACCCCCTCCTCCCCCACCACCACCGCCACCACCTCTGCCTGTTGCTAAGGACATCCCAGAGACACTGGAGAAAGGTCTGCCTAGAGTGGAGGGGAACGAGAAGAGAATCCCTAAATCTGCGAGTGCCCCTTCAGCACATCTCTTTGATAGCAGCCAGCTGGTCAGTGCCAGGAAGAAGCTCAAAAAGACTGCTGAAGGTTTGCAGAGAAGGAGAGGTAAGTTAAAGAGATCTTTTCATGTTCATCTGTTGAAAAAGTGAGGCATAATCAAAGCACTTTTTATTTCACAGGATCTTACGAAGCTTAATACTAGTACATTATTTTATTTCTGGACATTATTTGATAGCGAATAGGTTTTCAAGGTCATAGCAGGGCAGAATTCTCACCAACCCATATCGACAAATTTCTACAGACATAGCAGTGTGTACCTTTAGCTGTTGGGCATATTTTTAAAAATAAATCTTCTGAAGTGATACTTGATCTATTTGGTAATACATAGTAGGAAGCTCCTTTTGTGTAAAAAAAAGTTATTTTAAACCTGGGAAATACAAGAAAGGTATTCACATCGGAAAGCTTAAGTCATTTGGTCAGAACTATCACATTAGGATGGCGTTGGCAGGACAATGTAACATTTGGTCACGTGTTTATTGAGGACCTTAGTATACTCTTCATACAAAGAATCAAAGAAGAATAAGAAGTAATATGTATAATTTCTTGCATGTCACATTATGTGTTAAAGCTGTTTTTTGAAAAGAACAGGAAATCTTGGCCCTCAAGGAGCTTTAGCTTGCATAGAATATTATATAGAACATTTTGCATGTTATATTTTAATCTGAAAGACTATCCTGTAAAATATTTTTACCTTAATCCAAGTAGAATTTCATGTATAAAACAACTAAGTGCAAAATATCACTATAATGAACCAAAATTATTTTTAAAAAATTAAATGTATAACCCAGTCACTTTGGAATTCAGGTTGGGCTGGTGCATTATGGAAATCCTTCAGAAGCCTCACCTATGATACTACTAAAGACCACCTCCTTGCTCCCAATCTGTTCCCTTTTCTCACAGGGGAAATGATAGGAATACCAATAATACCTGACATGGAATTGAGTCTTGGGATTTCTTTTTAGTAAGTGTAATTAGGATGCCCTGTGCTTTGGAACCTTCTGTTCACACTGCATGGGCCATTTTGTAGATGGTGTTTCCAGTGTCATGGGCTATCGAGTCCTACAGTCTAGAGGTTGTAGTAGTTTGACTTTTTATGTGTTATTCTAACTCCAATTGTTTTCTTTCATTTTCTAAAGTGAGCTCACCCATGGATGAGGTGTTAGCTTCCTTGAAACGTGGTAGTTTTCATCTGAAAAAGGTTGAACAACGAACTCTGCCTCCTTTTCCTGATGAAGATGATAGTAATAATATCTTGGCACAAATAAGGAAGGGGGTAAAATTGAAGAAAGTACAGAAGGAAGTTTTGAGAGAATCCTTCACGCTTCTGCCTGACACAGACCCTCTCACACGGAGCATCCATGAAGCTCTTAGGAGAATCAAAGAAGCATCCCCTGAGTCGGAGGATGAAGAGGAGGCCTTGCCTTGCACAGAATGGGAAAACTAACAAGTAAATGTCTTACTTTCTTCAGTAGCGTTGGTAACACAGCTTTTATATTGGATATGATGAGGTCTCTTATATTGAGCCTGAGGTTTATTATTTATTATACAGGCCAATTATAGTTGGGTCATAAATTTGTAAACTTAAGATTTTACTTCTGTAGTTTCTAGAAACTTAATAGGAAAGCACTTTTCAAAGATTCTGCTATGTAAATGCTGTTTTTTATATGGCAGTACAGTCATATCCCAAGTATAGAGGATATTCTTATCTAATACCAGGAAAGTCTTTCAAAACAGAAAAGGCCTTTTCTAACTGAAGCATTTTTATTACAAACATATGCATATTAAATTTTGATGTTTTATTAGCTGCCTGTGAAGGAATTTTCGAAGATCAGTCTAGAAAAGTAATTGTGTTATCTGATTATTTAGCTTTCTAAGCCTTTAAAACTGAGGTTAATCTTTTTTAGGCTTATTATAGTAACTGCATTGTTTAAAATTTTAGTTAACATAATAAATATAAAAATTATACATATACATATCTTATTGAGTACCCCTATGAGTATTGGTTACACATTTGGCATTCTACCAGGGTAATAGAGAGTTATACTCCAGTACATTTTAACGTATTATTTTAATACGTTATTTAATGTATATTTTAATAAGGTAATTTTAAAGTAATGTGGTAATTATAAATTATGTTAAATATATAGAATCAGTAATAATAACATATAAGTTAAATAGTATACAGCTTCACAACATTCATCAAAAGGGGGAGGCTCATAGTCCTGGAGGGAGTAAAGAATAAACATATTCATCAGCACAATTATTCTTTTTGTTGTTGTTACTCCTCACCTTAGGATATTTTTCCATTGATTTTTAAGGAGAGTGGAAGAGAGAGGGAAAGACAGAGAGAAATATCGATGTGAGAGAAACACATTGATTGGTTGCCTCCGCCCTTGACTGGAATCAAACCCGGGACCCTTTAGTCTGCAGGCAACGCTCTATCCACTGAGCCAAACCGACTAGGGCACATCAGCACAACTATTCTTAAACATGCTTGATTATAAGAATTACCTGGAAAGCTTATTAAAAGTGCAGATTCCTGGCCTTCACTCCCCAGGATACTGATGCATATGCAGGAATACATCTGGATTTTGAAGATTTAATACAAAAAAACAAACTGTCATTAATTTTTAGATTGATTACATGTTCAAAGATACTATTTTGGATATCAAATATTACTAAAAGCAATTTTACCTGTTCCACATCTCTCCAGCAGCATCTGCACAGATCAGTAACTTAACAAAATGGGTGGGGGAAAAATCACATATCTCTTAAGTGGTTGCATGTTACCTTTAATGTGCTTGAGCCAACATTCCAGAATACTATGGTCCTGCTGTGGTTTTGGGCTTTTGGTATCCTTTTTTCCAAGAGCGTTATTTATAGAGGTCCTAATTAATAGTCACTCTGTGTGGCATGTTTATGGATCCCAAAATAATTTCAAACCATTTGTGCTTGTACATATATGTATACTATGCTTTGCAGAGGGGTATAAATATATCAGTATATCTACTTGGTGTATGAATGTGTCTCTAGAGACTCAGATCTGTCTTGACAGGGAATCTTTTTGACTGGATATTTATTGTCTTTCACATTACAGTGCTTGCTACCTATTTTTATTGCCTGTCTCCTGCTTATAGCTTCTTGGTGAGCTGCTAAACCTATGCCTGAAACTACCATCTTAGTGCTGATTGGTTAATCCCTCAGGTGGGCCTTCACAGAATGAGTATGTTTAGTCCTTTTATTACAGTTGCCTGCAGTGGCCCAGGCAGGGTGCATGGCCTCCCAGCAGCTGCTCAGGCCAGCCCATCACTGTTTGTCATCTTCCATCCTACCAGATCCTGCCCAGCACAGATACTGCAGCAGTATTTCCTACATTCAAGTGTCCATTATTTATAGCTTTGGGCTGCTAATTTGGCCTTATTTCTGATGTCCAGGATAAATACCACTTTGAAAATTCCCTAAAACTTTTCTTAGAATGATTTTTTTAATGACTGGTATATGTAGTATAATATTGAGAGAAACAATGAAATAGTTCCACAAAATGTATGAGCTCAGATAGCTGTAAAGCTAGTTTTAAAAGACAGTATATCCTACACCAGAAGCAATCTGTAGATTAGCTGTATGCTCCACCGATTGAGCTGGCATTGATGAACAAGCTCCGTTTCACCTGCGTGTGGGCTTGGGAAATCATTTTTAAATGTTTTAGATACTTCTCCACAGATAGCTAAAAAAAAGCTGTAATTTGTATTTCCTGTTATTAATTGGCTTCATTCTTAGAGCTTTTAAATCATTGATGTGATTACATACTTCTTTGAAGAGCTAACTTCTCAAAACTTCATGAAGTAAAGAGTGAAGGTCCCTGTTCTGCCTCACCCTCCTCTAAAAACTCTTCCCAGAGATCGTTATAGTTAACAGTGTCCTTGAAGGGTATTTCTAACATAAGGAAGTACATGTAGTTATATAGACTTTATTCAGTTTCTGATTTGTTTCCTGTGGGGTCCTTTTTTAAAAAAATATTTTTTTATTGATTTCAGAGAGGAAGGGAGTAGGAGAGATAGGAACATCAATGTTGAGAGAGAATCACTGATTGGCTGCCTTCTGCATGCCCCCCACTGGGGATCGAGCCCACAACCTAGGCATGTGCCCTTGACTGGAATCGAACCCTGGACCTTTCAGTCCACAGGCCCATGCTCTATCCAACTGAGCCAAACCAGCTAGGGCCCTGAGAGGTCCTTCTTAAACTGAGGATGTAACTATAATGACTCTGTCCAATAGAAATACAATGTGAGCCTCACATAGGATTTTAAAAGTTCTAGTTATACTTAAAGAAGGTAGAAAAGAATGGGTGAAACTGATTTTACTAATACTTTATTTTACATGTTATATCCAAAATAGTATCTTTCAACATGTTTTCAATATAAAAAAAAATATACAACATAATTCACATTTTTTTGTACTGAATCTTCAAAATCCACTGTATATTTTATACTTACTAGTATAAATTACAGCATAGTACATCTCAGTCTGGATGCTAAATATTCAATGGTTAAAGTGAAATGTCCTATCAAAACAATAAAATTGTATTTAGTAGAAAAAATATTTTCTACCACTTTATATTTTAATTTAAATTAAAAATTCATTTTCTCAGTCATACTCGCCTCATTTTAAGTGCTCAATAGCCACATGTAGCTACAGGGTTAGATAACACAGAACTATAATAAAAGAAGTTAGTATTCTGTTCATGTCAGCTTTTATCTGATAAGTACCAGAACTTTTATATAAATTTTCCTGTTCCATAGGTAAGCTCATAGATATCAAACACAACTATTTTGAATTTTAAAAAGTCTTGGTAAAGCACGCATTTAAAGACCAGTATTAATCCCGTGCTCTAAATGTCAATCTAACAAAAATTGCTCCCTAGTGAATTTTAAAAATGTCATGTAATAGTTCTTATACTGGCAGTTTATTAGGCAAAAATTTTTAGATTATATTTTTCCTTTTTGTATTGACATAAAATGTTATTTTAAAAGAAGTAAAAATAAAAGTGAAAGAATCTTTACAACCTTTTAACAGTGATCAAAACCCATATGTAAATTTTTTCATTTTTATTGCTTTTGAATACAAGCATATCTTTTTTTTTTTTTTTAACTGTCTATATAAATGGCCATTTATAAGGAAAAATCATCAGTGTTCATTCTGGATATTGTTAAAGTTATGAGGGAGCATATGTACATACTACCTTTAATAGGTCATTCTTTTTTTAATACATTGTTATTTCATTTGTAAACAGGTGACTCACGAAAAAGAAAAAAAAACCTGCGGTTGAAGACCGATTCATATTCTTTTGAAAAACAAATTTTAAACACTTGGTTCCAGAATTGGATTCCATTAGATCCAAAGTGTGTTGGCTCAGTGGTGTGAAAAAAGGAAGCACAGTTGGCAAGTTTTTACTTTTTCAGTCATTCCAATAGATGGTGGTTAACATGAGTTTTAGATGTGCAATGTTTCTGACTACAGTGAAGAAGAAGCCTTCAAAGAGATTCCCTTTTTTTTTACCATCTTCCCCTCCTGCCCACCCACTTACATACTTATAGTGGCCAGTAAAGCTAGGGGTTGCTATGAGTTGGAAGAGCACTGGGTGGACAGAGGTCGCCTGTGAGCTGTATTGGGACTGCTTTGAAATCTATTGTTCAGTGCACTGAATAGTCATCTGCTTGAAAATTACAGAGCTTCTTCCATATCAGCTTATATAAATAGTGTGACACTCTGAAAAAGAAGTTTATCATGATAGCCATTGGGACAGGAATTGAAAGAAAATCAGATGATGAAAATTTCCACATTATCTCCAAAGGAATTTTCATAAAGATGTTGAACAATATCTGGAAAGATACAAAACTATGGAGATACATCTATTAATGTGTTTACCACAATATGATACATTTAACATGGCATATTTTTAGAAGACCACACACTCTTACACTTTGTAAGTTTTTGAAGTAAAATTTCCATGCTTTTAAATAGCTCTTCATAATTGTGAATTTATAATAGTTTGAATATTATGTGCAGCTTTGTTTATGAGAAGCAATACTTTGTAATTTGATAATATTTCAAATTATTTTTGGTCTTTTTGTTTGAACTATTGCTTGATTACTGTAATTCAACATGACTTTCCTATTGAGAATCAAAATCAGGATTCTATAATAGGAATGCAGATCTTAAGTCTTTTTATCATGTACCATTTAAGTTTTTATTTTTATGTTCCACAGTAAGAAAAAGTGCTCTACAGATATGCAGAAAAAATTAGACAAACAGAAAAGCCTCTTTAGCTGGCATTTCACATGCTTTGAGTGGAGTTTTTGGATAGAGCCTTTGTTATTGTCACTAAATTAAACATGTATGTAGCTCTAGGTGCCTGTTTTGCTGTAATGGAGTCCTGAAGGATGCGTTTATATGAATGGAGCCATTATGTGTTCTCAGCTGGACTGCTGTGGGCTTAAATGAAGATAGATATGTTGGACTTAGTACAGTACTCTGTAGAGTATTCTGCATAAGATAGATCTTGGCCTTTATATGCAGGGAGGACCGAAGTACCAAAAAAGACTTTTATTTCTTATGAGGCAATTATCTGACCTAGACTCAGAAAGCAGTCCCAGTGTAAAAGCCCTCCAATGAATCGATATTCCAGAGGAAAAAGAAATGCTTGCACCTTTGTCACATTAAAGTGGCATTCCTTGAGAGTAATTATGGAGAAAATATTCTGACATCAGGTCATGTAAAACAAAATCTTTCTGCTTAAATGTTGGTAATATGTTTCACAATACATTGGTTTATTCTAGCACTATTTTCACATCGTGTCTGGGAAGATTGGAGATGTAGATCTAATATAGAAACTAATCTTCATCCCATGATGGTGAGTGGGGGAGATTTTTTCCTATCTACATCCGTAAGGCATTGAAGCATGCTTCCTAACCCAAAGAATGATTGGTTTGATAATGTATTTTTTAAGAAGTTTTAGTAAATTTACAAATCATAAAAAAAATCACATTTCAGTGTTATGCCTTTGGATGCTTGTTTTGTTTTTCATTCATTGACATTTAGAAAAATACAGGAGAATGCAATGTTAAATTAACAGCAAAAGCACTAGAACTCTCATATGTCTAGAGGGAATTGCTACCCATTTGGTGTTACAGCTGCGATTCCAAGGGTCCTGTGATCTCCATGAAGGTTATCTCACACTTGAAGATGAGTAGGTTAGAGCAGCCAGCTATGCTCATTCTCTGGTAAATAACTTTCTTTAACACACTCACTTCCCTTAGAGATTCAGATTCCTACTTCCACAGAATTGCATGTTACTGTAGGTCATCAACCTTTAAGAGTTCTCACAAATAATATTAAAATTTAAAATAACTACCATCGACTTGTCTATTAAGATGAGTTGACCAGTTGAATCCTCATTTTAATTTTAAAGCAGTTTTAGACCCCAACAGGAATTATGTTGACATGGTTAAATTCTTTTTTTTTCTTGCCCCAGTAAGATGAGCACCTTGGGCCTTAGTATTTCATTTGTATATATTTTAGTTATGGTGGTACTTATAGATCACGTTTCCACTTCCAAACTTGGCTATACTGTTTATATGGTTTAAAATATTTGACAGCTCTATTTCTGTTAATGTATCATTGCCATATATAAGAATCTGCGAACAACTGCTTGCTTGTGCTGAATCAGTTTAGAAGTTAATTTACTAATCTGGCCTCAACTACTATATATTTATAATAGGGAAACAAGTAGGTGGTGATCTGGGGGATGTTTTGAGGACAGTATTACTTACTGCTCACTTAAATGTCAATGTTAACTATTTCTTCTAATGCAACTAAAATTATGTATATATAACCAATGTGGAATGTATAGAAAAGGTATTCCTAATGATTTAAAATCCCAATGGTACTATATTGTAGCAATATGAAGAAATGCCTGGCTAAAAAAGATTTTTAAAAGATGAGCAACTGTCTTGCTTACTTGATGTATATTTTATAGGCTTATTGAGTTTGTGAGCAGCACAAAAGCAATCATTCCTTAATTCTTCATTGTGAAACTTAAACATTTCTATAAAATGCATTTTCAAATAGACTTTTAGACATGACTATGACACTTGATCAGGTGTAGTATTTCCATAGTGGGACTGTGGGGCTTTTCTATGAAACCGTAGAAAAATTTCAGCACTTTTATGTAACTAGAGGCCCGGTGCATGAGATTCATGCATTTGGGGGCATCCTTCAGCCTGGCCTGCTCCCTCTCACAGTCCAGGAGCCCTCAGGGGATGACCAACTGACAGCTTAGGTCCACTTCGTGCGGAGCGGGCCTAAGCAGGCAGTCGGACATCCTTAGTGCTGCCGCGGAGGCAGGAGAGGCTCCTGCCACCGCCACTGCGCTTGCCAACCATGAGCCCAGCTTCTGGGCTTCTGGCTGAGCGGTGCTCCCCCTGTGGGAATGCACTGACCACCAGGGAGCAGCTCCTGCATTGAGCGTCTGCCCCCTGGTGGTCAGTGTGCATCATAGCGACCGGACGTTCTGCCATTCCGTCAATTTGCATATAACCCTTTTATTATATAGGATGGGGGGGGGCCTTGGTTTCTACAAAGCTGAACTATGTAGCAATATTTGGTAACATGGCGTGACCACTTTTGTAAAGAATACTTTGGCCATAGCAGACACTAAGAATGGAAATTCTTTTATTAGTGGAACAAAAATAAATGGGGGGAGCATTCTCTCTGTTTGGGATGGGACCAGTATACAATTAACACAATTTAACTTTATACATTCCCTGAGACTCCATTTTTAATTACATTCACTGAGAATGTAATGCTTTTAGCCTAAGAAAAGTTTTTTCTTTCACTAAATACAAGGGTTTTTTTTAATCTTTATAATTTATTATGCACTTAACATCAGATGCCAACCTGTAAAGTACTAATGGGTCCTTAAAGGCCTTATCAGGGAGTTCAAATTTCATATACTTTACCAGGTTATTTGTAAAAAAAATTTTGAACAGATGTAAAACATTTAAAAACTGTGGCAGACTCATTGTTAACGTGCAACCATTATATAGTGAAAGCAGAAACCTTAAGTTTTGCCTAATTCTTGCACTGAATTTAAATAATATAAAGTTAAATGTGCATTTTAAACAGATTTTATTCCCCGTTTACTGCTTAGCATAGAAGAACTATGCTTCAGGTAGAGGATTGACCAGCAGGACTTACTTCCAATGGCGGAGAGGGCAGGAAGTAGAGCACCTTACTGTGGGAGCGCGCTGCATTTATTAAGCTACTGACAGTTCAGTGGTGTGTCTGATCGTCACTGCAGAGTGCTCTGTAGTTAAAGCACATTTAAAAAATCTCTGCTCAGTTGCTTTGTAAAATGAAGCAATGGTATTTTTTATCCTATAAATATAGGCTAATTTAAATGTTTTCCTACAAAAAAATGAGTTTATATTGCTGCCTAAACTATCATGTATGTAAACAGAGGCTTTTTAAAGGTAAGAGGGAGTCTGGATTGTGTGTGTTAAATGTTTGTCCACTGAATTATTTCGAAGACGTATTCATTTGGAAATGTTCTCTTTTGCCCATGGTAAATGTATAGCTTGGCATTTGAGGAATTTAATTGAATTCCAAATTTATAAACGTTTCTCCCCTTCTCCATGCATTTATTATCACACTGTAAGGTGCATGTACAGAAAATACCTCTGAGATTGACACATTAAATATTTTATCAATATTATTTCACACTGAATCTCAAACATTTGTTTTGAGGGTTAGGGGAAAGTTTTTGTGTGTTTTTTAAAGTCAGGTTATAATTAAGATTGGTTCATTTTGGGGAGTTAAGGAAGGACCATGGAAAATGATATTTAGACATGTACAAAAGGTATAGGTATTGGTTATAGAGTTCAGTTTTAACACGCGAAGTTTTGGTGTTTTTGTGTTTTTTTTAAACTTGCATGTTCTATGGTTAACTATCAAAGAGTATATAACAAGTTATTCTAGCTTTTCCCAATACTAATTAAATTGGTTTTAAGAAGTCTCCATAATCACAAGATGGCATTTTCCCTTCAACTGTTAACCAAAAGGAATAGCCAATATAACCAATGTAGTGACTTCTGACTTCTTTAACGTGGACAGAATCCCCACTGTGTCACTGAATTTCTCATTGTACTGTATGTATTGCCAAGGTTGAAACCATAATATGTAGTTTATGAAAAATTGAAGGCCACAGGTCATTTTGCATGAGTAAAGCCCATTAGGGCTAATGAAACTGACATGTTTTTTAGCCTTTCCAGTCAAATGAAAATTTTAATTCACCATTTACTAGCTTTGTGCAATATTATAATGGTAGAAGCAAAACACTAGCACATTGTGCTTGGCTTTTAAGGATGGCTTTAACACCATCACATCACATGGGCAGTGTGCACAGTGTATTGTAAATGCCAACTCTTGCAAATTTACAATACTTAAGTATGCTAAATTAACATCCTAAAGTATTAAAAGTACAAAGAAAAAACTAAGCAAGCATTTATAGCAATACTCTGAAATCTCCAATAATTGTTTTGACTGTTGCCTTTGGCTCTTTAGTGCAACTTTTCTGCATTGTAATTATTGTATTGCTTTGTATTTCATGTTTTTTACACTCATGACTTCAGAGTTAAGTACTTGTACACCAAGTATTGCAATCACCTTTCTCTTCTTGTACATGCAATGTAACAACATACAGTTTGGTGCTTAACAATATTCCATTTTTTCTTTAATAAAATATATTTATTGCATTAACCTCACTTTGTTTAACATTGGTGGGAGATACTGTCACTTCTTTTCAAATAGAAGGAGCACAGCAAGTCATACACCTGTTATGTTGATCAGGATTCAGAGACTGTTTACCCCTATACTTCTGGCTCTTCCCAACTACTGTTTATTATGAAATATTTTCATGGCAGCTTTATTTGTACTAGTAACAGCCTTATTCATATCATCTCGGTAACTATCCACATAGTTTGGAAACAACAACTTCCAAAATTGGAAGGCTTTTAAATGCCTTTCATGTTAGGAGTCAATTTGTGTTCATCTAATATGGGGAGATTATTGGCTTTATGCTTAAACATAGGACGAGCTTAACTGGGTCCCAGCACATACTCTTACCCAACACTGGCTTGATGAAGCACACACACAGGTCTAAGGGAGGCGTCCTTCAATAGACTGAGGTCACAGATGCTGCTAAGCCCTACTTTTTCCCCAAGTCATTTATAAAATGATGGGCTGAACAGGATAAACTTTGGGGCTTTCCAGCTTCAGGGTTCTGTATTAAGAAGTGAGAAATTTCTCCCAGGAAGGGCCTTACTTCCATGTATTCTCTCTACAGATATATCAGCAGCTAACCAAAGGGTTTTGATTACTAGATAGTTTTTCCATAAAATGGACATGAGAGGAACGTTAGCCAGATAGAATATCACCTTCTGCCTCTTGAATTAAACTTAGATACATTAATACACTCTCAACAGTACTTCAGAAGACTCCTAGTATCTAGTTCACTCTTGTGAAAATCATGGTGCTATTGGCTTGGGACTGGTTTACTGGGTGGACTTCTCTATGGGGTTAGTCATCTTTCCTATGACATGTGAAAACCTGAAAATCTAGGCCTAACTGGAATTCCTTACTCCTGTGTGGCCTTGTTGCTAATCCTGACCTTGCTGAATTTTTATAAGCTGGTTGAAACGTGATGAATTTGCTACAGGAAGCCCTTTGGGAGAGGCTTAAAAAATCTTTGGTGCAGCCCTAGCTGGTTTGGCTCAATGGATACAGTGTCAGCCTGCAGACTGAATGGTCCCAGGTTCCATTCCAGTCAAGGGCACATGCCCGGGTTGTGGACTCAATCTCCAGTAGGGGGCGTGTAGGAGGCAGCCGGTCAATGATTCTCTCTCATTGATATTTCTCCCTTCTCCCTTCAGTATCAATGAAATCAATAACAATATTTTTTTTAAAAAATCTTTGGTGCAAAAATCCCTACATTCCATCACATTCGGACAGCTACTGATGGATAATGACGTTTAACCATATTTCCCCAGCACTCTGTCCCTCTGCCCAGGGATACCCTTTCCACAAAGACCCCACAACTTTATTGCACACCAGAAACTTTGTTCTCCTTCACTGTTATTAGCATTTTCTCCAGATCTCTCCACTAATAATCGTAGTCATTCACAAGTGTTCTTGCTCATCTTTCTCCAAACTATTTGTCAACTGCTTAACTTCTAATAGGCTGATGACCTATTATTCTCCTACTGAGTTCCTACAGATCCATCCTCCAATCACAGCAGCCTCCTCCTCTCACCTGCCTCCTCCATTTGCTCCTGGTGATTGCTGTGACTGACTCCATACACTCAGGCCATCAAGCTGCTTTCTGATCTCAGGTTCTTCCCTGTCACTAATTCCATAGGCCAGGCCCTGCTGTACATTCAGTAGAGTCCAGGACTTCCTGCCTCCATGCTGCCCAAGGAAAACGTGCTACGAGGCTTTCTGTGGGAGACAGGTCTCTTCCAAGCCTTGTCCCCAGGACCTCAATTCCACATGCTCATCTCATATGTCTTTCCCCTGGCACACGTGTGTGTCTAAAATGCTTCTCCTTATCTCAACACCATCAAAAGTCTATCCATTGAGTGTTAATTTGGAAAGCAGGTGGGCAATGTACTTGAAAGCAGGTGAACAATGTATCAGTAGTTCATGTGCAATTTTGTGTGTCAAAATTGTTAATCAGAACATTGAAAGAAAGGGAATAAGAGAGTTAAGATGTGAAAGGAAAAATTATAGAATCTGATTTAATCTTCACAATTATACAAAGATTAACCATTTGAGGTACAAGTAAAGGGGTTAGGCCCGGCCGACATGGCTCAGTGGTTGCACCTCAACCTGTGAACCAGGTCACTGGTTTGATTCCTGGTCAGGGCACATGCCCAGGTTGTTTGCT